TGATTAAATACACATGTATAACAATAATCTCGTGATGATCTGTCAGTATTGAATAATAAGACAAAATATCGGCAAAAGTAGTCAAAAAGGCAGACACCAACCAGTACAATAGATATAACATAATGCAATAAGAAATGATTGTAAGAGTTACTGTAATATTAAGATTATATAACTGTTCGTAATGGAACGTTATATTGCTAAATATGACATTATACAGAAGAACATCAATTTTAAAATAAGAAAATAAGATCCTTATATATAATTCTGTAAGACAAAATTTTTACCAGGAAATTGTGGACGTCCAGAAAATATGAGTAGGCTAATTAATGTAATTTTCATGTTCTATTTTAACCTTTTGATTAAGAATTATAGACAACCATGATCAATAGTAAACACTCCATTGTAAATAGGTACCGGTACAACAATACAAATTAAGGTGTATGATAAACATTTAAAACACGTTGGTCCACTGAACACTCTGTATATTAGAAGGTCGCCAAATGTGATAAAAACTGTTAATTTATAAGATTTCCAACCGTATGATACACTATTGAGCTTTAAGTTTGTTTATGTACGCTTTAGTGGTTTGAATACAACAAAACATGGCGTCTTTAACGTTACAAACATAGAAAGTCAACATGTTTAAAGCAAAAATTGTATTAATATTATTATTGTATACGACGGCGGATATTTGAACGCCTTCAATGTGAGGGACGCAATAGTTTATACTTTGGACCAAACGAACTCGTATTAATGTGTTGGACCAAACGATTTTGGACCAAACGAACTGTTTTACAACTGTTGGACCAAACGATTTTGGACCAAATGAACGGCAATATAAACGTACAGTATATTTCATAAGTTTACTCTACAATGCAACATTTTACTTCTAGTTTGGCCTGTACTTTTGGACCAAACGATTTTGGACCAAACGAACGTGTTTTTAACTGTTGGACCAAACGATTTTGGACCAAACGAACGAGTTTTTAACTGTTGGACCAAACGATTTTGGACCAAACGAACGGCAATATAAACTGTGGACCAAACGACTTTGGACCAAATGAAATTGGATAAAACGATTTTGGACCAAACGAACGAGTTTTTAACTGTTGGACCAACCGATTTTGGACCAAACGAACGGCAATATAAACTGTGGACCAAACGACTTTGGACCATTTGAAGATGATCCTAATAATCAACGTATAAACGCGTAGTTCTGCTTGAAAGCACAGTCCCAAATATCCGCATGTTTGTTGTCATTTCAGAAGATATCTAGTTGAAATAATGGAGTGTTTGTTACAAGTGACAAACCCAATTTTGGAATTTTTTTTACAGTTTTATTTTATTGGAAACTATACTGATCAACAAATATATTGAGCCGATCTGGTACAGGAATTATTTGCACATTTCCGATACCAAAATCCTCATAAGCGTTTTTTCTGAATCAACTGGACTCGTTGTTTTTTAACCCCCTTAAAAATAACTTTTGAAGTTATAAGAGCTTATAGGGTTGGTAGGGCACTAACGTCAAAACAAAACTTTTTAAACTCAAATTTAACTTCAGATTACACCATAAAAACAAAAACAGACTTATTTGCAAAATCGGAACAACGGTGAGTCAGAAGTGAAAATGGACGAGAGTACGATATTAATTTTGATGCACTTAAAAACATCTTCACCACGCTGCAATGTAATTAGATGTGCTTCCGACCCAGTGACTCTTTCAGCCTTCTCGACTTTATCTAATAAACCTTTTGATGTGGTTACACCAGACTTAATTTACAAGCTTCTTTCAACTCAACTCGCTCGGCTCGTCTATACATGATGACCTTCATCAAATGTGTTGAATTTAACAAATTTTGTTCCCTAAGTTTGTGATTAGTGTTTTCCAAACCATTCGCAATTTAGCAGGCTTTAGACTCCGGTGAACACCTTATCTATCACTCGGCTATCAAGAAAATAAAATTTTTATTATTGTAATCAGTGGCGTCATTTCACCAAATCCTTGGGGGGGGGGGCCAATACCGGGAAGTCTGGAATACCCCCCAGCAAACGGGGTGGGTGGGGGGTCCGGTGTCAAAATTGTGCAGTTTTGAAGCAAAACAAAAATAGGGGTTTAAGCTTATTTAAATTGTCAAAAGCACTTCGAATAAAAACAAAATTATGAGTCAAATTTATTTAAATTTAATTAATGAAACTAACAATTATTGACAACAGACAGAAACATAATGTGTAATACCTATGTTGGTAAGTTAGTCATCTAAGAAACGTGATCTTAAAATACCTACTTTGTACGCTCGCCATTTCATTGAAAAGTATAAAAGTATTAAGTATGTAGACTAAAAACTGCCAAATTAATATTATACACGTATTAAGCAGTGAAAAGGCGACTAAGTCTGTTAGGTAATGTATGCAGTATCTAGTTATTAGTTTGGGACACGATACACGATATGGGGTATTGTTACATCATACATGTTGAATACGCGTCATCATCATATTATTAATGCGTGCAACACTGTTCAATGATGTTGAAACTAGAAAATTCGATACTACTAAAAAGGGCCAACTTTATAGCAAGCCATTGTTCATGCTCAGTGCAAATCATCTAGATGTTTTAGGAATGTTTAGCACATGCTCTGTGCAGAATTCAAATCTCACACCTTTTTAGAAACGTATACAAAGATTGCTTTGTCAATCGATCAATGTAGAGGTGTTGTGTTGGCTTTGTTCGTTGTTTGCTCCAACGTTCGACTGTTTTTAACAAAGGAAAATGGATTTCTTCTTTGAATGTTACAACGTCAAGTAGTGGGCTGCAAACCCCTTTTATGTAATTTATTTTTAACACATTAATATGAACTACTACTAGTTTACCATGTTCGTCTTTCTTCTGTGCTCGTTTGTAGATTTATCATCGCGTATGTTTACTTCTAAATAGTAAACATCTAGGCATGCGCCTTATCAATATGTTTCTCATCTTTGCGAACATTTTGTGTTGTAATGTGCATACATGTTTCGGACTCGGAAAATATAGTTTATGCGTTTATGCTAACTAAAATTAATACCACTGCGAAATAGTTCGATATCAGACAATCGTTATAAATGAAGGCTAACTAACTATAAATCTACGAATTTGTAATTCCGAATGATGTGTATAATTAAATTTAGGCCTACAATAAATTTATTTAAATGCTGAAACAATTTTACATTCACTGTACGAGGAATTTTGAACCCAACAAACAAACGGAATGCGGAAACTTCGAGGAAACGCCTATCAAATTAACTAACGAATAGATAGGAAAACGTACATTTACGTCGAATAATTATCAAACCTGTAGCATGAGGAAACTGATGTCGCGTCTAGGAATTTGTAATTGAATAGGGAAAATAGAAATAAAATAGGTGAATCAACAAACTAGAATTAAGAAACTGAAACAACAAAAATGCCCCCACCGCAGCAAACCTGCAGACAAAGCGAATTTCCATCTATTTGGCGGGAATTCCACAAAATTATTCCCTTAAAATTGTCAGATTTATTTCTTATTTAAATATCTTAAATTATAATGCTACGCGAACTCGTTCGAATAAACGTTGGTTTACACTTTTTATACCAAGTTTCATCAAAATCGGATCATTTTTGCTTGAGTTATCGTGCTAAAACGGACACTTGTATAGATAAATATATATATATATATATATATATATATATATATATATATACAGTATATGAATTTGAACAGATGGTGTTTTTGGCCTCTAGGGACCTCGAAACGGAAAAGTAAATCGGTTCCGGGTCCAGGTCTTACCATGAGTACGGTAATAGCTTATTCCCTATACCGTATGGGAAATTCGCTAAAAGGATTAATCAACATAGCACGAGGTAGGCTAAACTAACAACATTAATGACTCATCAAAAGAATAGCATGAGGAAACTGAAACATCGATGAATTAATAATGCGAAGGACGGACAAAACTCCCGTGTCCTTGAATTTACTTTGTTTTCAATACTAACACAACCATCACTTGCTCAACATCAGCCAGCAGGCATAACATTTTACTTCAATAGCCTATATATTTTAATTTCTGTTTCGATATTATTTTGACTCAATAGAAAAATTATAATTTTACTGGGTTCGGTTTTCGAATCACAATAAAGGCATAGTAATTAATTGTATTTATTTGTGTCCTTTTCGTAATGCTTTAAGATATTTTATCATTTTAATTTTTGTAACCATAAAAATAAATGTGGCGCATAACAGAGAACATAGTTTCATTATGTTCAAGTTCCTATGTAATTTTTATATAATATACAATTTTCCTTAGGCACATTTGTGGAGCTTTCAGTTTATTTTTAAATAAAGAATCAAAATCCTATTGCCTAACAAGTTTGTTCTCATAAGATTTTTACTCGTTTGCAGAAATAATAGGTACTGTAATTAGTTTTAATAAACTGTTACTTTATCGGTACCTACTAGATAAGTGTATAACGTCGATACGGTAGGCTACCAAATCTAATTGTTCACTTCAGCACTAGGCTATAAACATTTGTTAGATTTTTATTGTTTTATTAAAGTGCTGTGAATTCATAGACGAAAGTGCGACATAATTAATAGGCCTATTACAGTATGTGTGTAATACTTTAAATTATTATTTAACGATTTAACTTGTTATATACAGTACTTGGATATTATATTATTTAAATTAACATTACATGGACACGTTTGAAATAAATGCTCAATATATTAAATCTTGAATCTTAAAATTGTAATTACTTAGTAGAGTATGGCACAAGCCACACTCGTAATCTAACAGTGTCCAAGATGATAATGTTCTTTACTAAAAATAATGTGATTAAACAAATTTTCATAAAGCATTCGGCTCTTCAAAAGACGAGACAACAAAGAAAAAAAATTTTTAGGTAGGTAGCATTAAACCTTTTTGTCAATAAACAAATACCACTTAATTACACTATCACTACCTAAAAACCAGTGAAATGCACCTACCCAAAACAAGACGTTGAATCCAAAAATGAGGTACTTCAAGCAGCAGCTGACTTCACTGGTGTCCCTCCTGGTGTATTTCCTGACGGACTGTTGTACGGGGACTTTGAAGCCGTTGGCCGTCGGCCTGTGGGCCTCGGTACTCATGGCCTAGGCCTAGCTTGACACATAACACACACGACGATGAACGTGGTGACGTCACGGACGTGGTACACGGCCAGTCGGGAAACGCTCACTGAGGCCACAACACCATCACCTTCACGACACGCTCGCACCACTATCGATATATCGTATAATGCGACTGTTCGATATAATTGTATTGCAATATTAGTATTATAGTGCTAGTGAATGTTAGTTGTTTTTGATGTTTTTGTTTGACGTAATGAAAATTCTAGGCAAAATCTACTTCCTTTAAATGTACAAAAGTTTTTTTTCTTATTTGCATTTAATAGATTTGATTTTTCCCATAATTGAGGGGAAGATACAAAAAACATAATTTGAGCTGCACTTGGTATAAATTTCTTTACGTAATAATATTTAATTTTTTTTAACCTAACTATTTTTATCAATTAACAATTTGTCCATCTGTTCATTGTTCACAAAGAATATACTGCCAACAGCAAGCAAACAGTAAAACAGAAACAAATTCCAAATTTGAGCTATCATGTAGCTACTATAATTAAAACAAAATAATGAATGAAATATAAATAATACGGTATTCATTGTAAAGATAAATTTGTATTGACATTATAGACGGATTTTGGTTACAGTAACATAAGTGGTTACACTGCGCAGTATTATTTACTCCGATGGTTGTCGTATGGTGAACTCAAATCGATACAAAACGATATATTTAATTGGAATAAATCGGATCATTCGGATTGTCATATCGCATTTGCACCACCCCCCCCCCCTTCGCCCGAGAGCCAGAATCCAATATACGTGGACAGGCGCGGCGCGGCGAGCGGCGACACGTGCGCTCCTAGCGGACAGGACGAGAGATCGCTCTCACTTTCCTACTTCTTTGTTCTGGGTCCGGTGCGAGGTTGACTATTGTATCATCCTGTCTGTCTCGGCATATTGAAAAGGAGCGGCAGGAACCAACGCTGAAGAGGACAAAGTCCTATAACACTTATTTGAATCTGAAAGGAGGAGCGGTGGGAACATTATCTAATTTAGAGAATACAATATATAAATCTACTCTTGAGTCTTGACCAAAGTTTAAATGTACATGTTTTATCAAGGATTAAAATCGAACTCTTGTACAGGTCACTCTTATAATTTACCTGGAGTATTTTTATATAATGTTTCGACCACTGTCCGTTAGCTCAATGACTAATGACAACTAGACCCATCTTTGCGTGGAATTGAACCAGCGACATTTGAGCACCAACCAGATTTAAAAGCGAGGAGTATAACTACTCGGATATTCATACAATATTCGTAGAGGTGACCGTGGTATCTTTGAAACGTATACTAGGTTGTTATTACTTCTCAGACACACTTTTGAAAAAGAATTGAAAGTGAACAAGGTTTGGAAAAAGTCGTTAAAATTACGTTATGGCATAAGTAAACACTACTCAGAAATTAATACAAATTCAGAGTGGGAAAGCAAAAAAAGGTTGGCTGCTAATGCCGGCCAACTTGAGAAACCCCAAAAGAAATAAGGATGTACCTAATTTTACCAGAATATTTATGTTCAAAGCATTTAATGTGGTAAATAAAACATAAGAAAATTAACAGATAGTACACTGAGGTTGTGTGTTATTTAATGTATTGCAATGTAAACAAAATAAGTCATTAGTTGAAAATATCAATCAACACCCTTATCAAATAATATTCAATTGGTAGAAAACATATAGGTTTAGTTATTTGCTTTTTGTAACAGCAATTTTGATTTTGGCTATAAAATCATTAAAAGTACATGCAAATCATCCTTCTATATCTAAATTTAGAACATGTTATATTCCTCATAGTAAAAAACCTCTATAGTATTGCTCAATTGAGATTATTTCCAAGGTTTAATATTTGGTTCTCGCAGGAAAATAGTTGAGTCGCGACGCCATATATACAAAGTCACTACAAGCAGGCAATGGGAGGACCGATGCTACTAGGTGTCGAAAGAGATATATTTCTCTACCTATCAGAAAGTAATTTTCCCATTGCAGGACCATTCAATGGCACCTCCAATGGACACTTACATCTCAGTAGTGGACTTTGTTCTCCTTTTGACATTTCTTGAGCGTATTAACACTTATTTGTGTAACTAGTGGGCGAAGTGGTAGGCGAGTGTGGAAAGTTTCTCGAGTGCAGCAAAAACAATTTGCACTCGTGTTAGTTACACATTATATTTTTCCTGCAGTTATGATAAAGCATAGAAATAATTAGTCTTTCAAACACTAAACAACAGTCAATACGTTTTAGGTTATGTTAAATCCAAGGGTTGAACGAAATGGAAAACACTGCAACAGTTGATCGTAGTATTCGTAGTCGTATCTTCAAGTGTCGCCAATCTATTTCCAAGCGTGTACGGATTACGTACATAATAAAAACACGCTGTTTTATGTTGTTTGGTTGGAATACTGGTGTGTGACAAAGTAAAAAGTGTGCGGCAAAGTAAGTAAATGCGGCAATTAGCAGCTTTCTGTACTATAATCAGTTAAAGGCCGGGGCCACACTCATCTAGGCCGGGGCCACACTCATCCTATCTCGCTGAATTTTTTCCACGGGCGTTACCCGTGGGTTTGAGAGATACATTACGGTTTATGGGGCAGGCCACACTAGAGTAAAAACGTCCGTGAACGCGTTTGTCAGTCTCACTGGTTTTACCAGCGAGACTGACAAACGGAATTGCACGTGTATTCTCTACTAACATTCCACGGGCGTTGCACGTAAAACTAGTCGCGGGGCATTGCGGCTTATGGGAGTGAACACACTCATCTTATCTCGCTGAACTTTTTCCACGGACGTTTCTAGTTTTAACCTGTACAGAGTGCGTATCACGGACACGGACGATTTTTATTGCCAGTGTGGCATGCTCTATCAGTCTCGCTGGTTTGCCCGAAAAACCTATCTCGTAAGACGAGTGTGGCCACGGGAAAACTGTTTCACGTGCGTTGCACGTGAAAACGGAAAAAACAGTCTCGCTGGTTGAAAAATACAAGTGTGGCCCCGGCCAAATCTCGCTGAATTTTTTCCACGGGCGTTACCCGTGGGTTTGAGAGATACATTACGGTATATGGGGCAGGGCCACACTAGAGTAAAAACGTCCGTGAACGCGTTTGTCAGTCTCACTGGTTTTACCAGCGAGACTGACAAACGGAATTGCACGTGTATTCTCTACTAACAGTCCACGGGCGTTGCACGTAAAACTAGTCGCGGGGCATTGCGGCTTATGGGAGTGAACACACTCATCTTATCTCGCTGAATTTTTTCCACGGACGTTTCAAGTTTTAACCTGACTGTTACTGTGCAGTGAGCGGGGAGGGGAGGGGGAGTGCGGATCACGGACACGGACCACGGACGATTTTTATTGCCAGTATGGCATCTGGCATGCTCTATCAGTCTCGCTGGTTAGCCCAAAAAACCTATCTCGTAAGACGAGTGTGGCCACGGCCAAACTGTTTCACGTGCGTCGTACGTGAAAACGGAAAAAACAGTCTCACTGGATAAAAATTACAAGTGTGGCCCCGGCAAGGAAGCCCACTTTGTCGGGTGACTGTAGATAAAATTATTGTTTACAAGTAAAAAATGTATATCAGTTTGTCAAAGACTTGTGATTGGCGAGTCAAATCTCTAATTTTCTTTTCTTCCAGTAATAAATCTTCTAAATATGTTTAATAAAAATCTCCAGTTTTTAGATAACATTGACTGTGGTAAGAAGGTTTCATATCAACCTTAGTCAGTAACAAGAATCGCACCACTCATCTCATAGTAAAATATCAATAGCTTAGTACAAATTAAGGCGATTCGCCAGGATTAAAAAACAAAATAACTTCGAAAACTATTACTCAATTATTTCCAAGTAGATACGGTAATATCTATAGAATTCGCTGATACAATAACACAACAGGTTATATTCAAATTCAACTGATTATCTAATAAGCGAAATTTAAATCCATCACAGGGAACTTTTACGTTATAGCATAGACTAGGGTTCTATTATCTGTGGTTATAGCCAGTCGTATTCCTTTTGGTGAAAATCATTGCTGTTACTGCAACTAAGTAAGAATATCTCTTAATTTTGGTAATCGGTTGTAATGTGTGAGAAATATTAAATTAGCAAATTTAATAATTTCTCTTTATTGACAACAGTTTGTTATGTCACGTCAACGTGAATTATGGAGGTCCTGATTAATTCTCCCACCTCTAAATCCCAACAAAATGGCGACCAGTAAATTGACACCCCCAATGCTGAAGCTGTCACTCCAAATTAACCCCATAAAACCGTCAATACCCTCTCTGATAACTTAATTCGGGTTGAAAGGGAGGGGTAAAGATTCGAAGATTGATTTAACTTCAGTTAATTTGCATTTTTATTTGGAAAGTGAAATAATTCATCATGGTATTACATTTTAAATAAATACATTTTTGGGGACGTTGTTAGGGAAAAAATGGTGTAATGCAATGTCACTGTAGGGTACACTATTCTATTCAAATGTTGTAACTGCAACGAGATAAACGGTTTAATTTGCATTTACTGTATAAGTAATACAGAGTTGTGTTGATAATACATTTAGGATTTAACTGGTTCAAGGGACCGAACAATTTGATGTATGAGGTAAAGAATGACTTCGACTTGTGAAAGGTGAACTTCAGAGTCAAAGAAGTTTGAAACATTAGAATCAAGAATCTCGTATGTTTATCAACACAATGGTCGTTACGTGACATAAATGAATGCGACAGCGGCACCTAAAATGTATGCTCACTGCACTGTGAAATGGGAAAGCTTATTTACACAAAAGATTAATGCTAGATGAGTCTCTATATATGAAATGCCTTTTGTAGCATAAAAAATACTGTGATAATAAAAACGCCCAGATGGGAAAAGTTTAGCTGATCCCTTTATAATATTGAAAAAAGAATAATAAATAAGATATAAATAGTATAATATAAATTTATTGGCATGGACGTATCTTCAAAACAGATTAAATTCATGGAAATCTTGAATCGCTTGCGATGTTTCTTTAATACAGTACGTCCAAGAGAACCGGGTTTTTAGAA